TCAGTTAGAAGCAGTATTTGCTGATGTAATCTCGATCTACTTCCAGAAAGTGCTTTGCAATCTTCAGTTTCCACGTAGACAGGCAGAAATGACCCTACTAAATGTTTCATGATGAGAATGGAACCTCTACCTGTTCTGCACCCCTGTTGCCCCCTGCCCCACCAATACTGCTCTGCCATATCAGCCATAGGTGCTTGCCCAAGTCCAGCTATGGTTAAAGAGGAAAATTATGAGAATATACATATGCATAGTTGTGTGTGCCATCCCTCTCCCGTATAAGTGCTTCAAGTCCAGACAGGCAGTAAAGAGAAAGATCTGGAATATTTAGCTGGAGGACATACGGTTCCAGTTCTTTTCAAGTCTCCAGATCCCCCCTAAGTATTTAATCTTTTCCATGCCCTATATAATTTCTTCAACTGCAGTTGAGTAGATTGTAATTAATATTTTAAGAGATGAGACCAACTGGGACAGTATGACTTTGCATACTATAGAACGTTCCAGACAAGGTGCGGTGATTGGTAGCCAAGGGAAGGGGTGAAACCAAGATGGTTCTTGAGCTGTGTGGATGCTTGAGCTGTGTGGCTGTTTTAGTTGTTTTGTATAATAAACTCCTTCTCTTTAAGAAGGGCTATGAGTCCATGATTCATGCAACGGAGACATGTAATCCCTGAGCAGGAAGCATTCACTCTGGAGGAATGTGCACTGAACAAGTTACTCATAAAAATGCTTCTGGACTAAATCCCAGATCTGGATACTGCTAAACTTTGGGGAAATTCAGGCTTGACTCTAGTTAATCAGTGTGCAAGCTCCCGTAGTGAACTATTCTGCCTCTTCTGAGCTGAGAAGAACATGTATGTGCTAGTTTGTTTTTTGTGTTCATGGCCTGGTGACCGAACAAAGGCCATCAGATTCATTTCACTTAGGGCCCTTGCATAAAATGTAATCCAGGGTTTCAGACACTGAATACAAAAGTGTGGACTGGTGGGGCAGAAAGTGGTGAATAGCACAGTACATTTGGGTGATGCATGTTATTTTTTCATGTTGGACAAGGTGGAGTGAGATTTCTGCATGTCATGGTAGCTATCATGAGGGTACTACATCATACCTCATTAATTTAGGCATACTCAGTGACCACTAGAAGTTATAGCTCTTGCATTATTTCCCAGTAACCCATAACATAGAAGCATAACCCCAACTATATTGTTGGACAGAAACGTTTTCCTTGCCTGCATCCATGTATATCTGTGTGATAGAAATTCTTCAAATGCAACCCAGGTATGTTGTATTTGGATTGGTGCACTGGATCGGCTGCTTGCAGCAACACTTATAACAGTTTGCATTTAATTATACTCCATGTGGATGTTCCACCATCGCAGGCACTTGAAATGGGAGCTGGAGGGATGGCAGTTGTATGCAGTCATTACTTTTTAATTTGGCTGAAGTTATTTTTCCCATTGTGTGCCCACCTCCCAGGGCTGAAGTGCAGTAAAACCTGAGGAGAGAAAAGGTGAGAGATCCTCCCAACAGTGGGCTTGGGTGAATGCTTGGATGAAATCTGCAGCAGTGTTTTCCAGTTCCCTGCTGCTGTGCTCTTATTCCCGTAACGGTAGCGGTTAGGACGAAGGGAAGGTTTCTTCTCTTTGCCAAGAGCTGAAAGCACACTCCTGCCTGCACCGTAATTTATGATACACCCAGCAGTGCAGGAACTCAGACACTACAGAAACTCTGAGTGAATGCATAGCAGTGCATTAAGGCAGTGTGCCAAGTCCTCCTCACCCAGAAGCTTTGCTTAGGGTGAGCATTGGCAGGCTGCACTAGACAGAGACTTTCAAAAAACATATCATTCCCCGCCAGAGGCAGGGCTCTCAGACTCAGCTTGCAATGACAGTCTAGTCCTGTTGTCAAGTTTGGTCTTTTGCCTTTCAGCTCCATTGAAAGTAAAAAGAGGGGAAATAGTCTTTTTAACTTTCCTTTTTTTTTTGCATTGCAACTTTCAAGAGAAAGTTTCTGCATTTCTGGTCCCCAAAGATAAACATCCCCTAAAAGCAGAGGAACGAGGTCTCGCTACTACTCCCAGACCAAGCTCCTGCAGCGTCAGCCATTCCTACACCCCCACGTCACACCCACTTCAGTCTCACATTGCCAGACTGGTTCTACAAATGCTGTTTGAGAGAGAGGGCTTTCCACCTGCGTTGGCAAGGAATATAAGTTTTGAAGCTGTTCTACTTTCTGCCTCCCCACCTGAGCCCACGGGATGACGGAAGGGAAGCAGTCTGGCAAATAAAAATAATGCTTCCCTCTAAAGCCCTTCTTGACGCACAGACTGCTGTCGGACTCTGCCACCTAGCTCACGTTGCAGCTCGCACCATGAGCAGCCCTGTTGAAGAAGAAGAAGGGGTTACTCGGGGTGCAGAGCAGATTGCATGTCCATGGGCATGGGTTCCGCAGTGGCTCTGGTTACCAAGTGGACTTCCTCTCACTGCCCTCTCACTCCAAGCTGCGGTGCGGATGCTTTCTTCCCTTCACTCCTCTGCCCCCTCGCTTCACACCCCCCTGGGTTTGCTTTTCTATTACAGGTTGCCTGAGTCAGTTTTCTACATCGCTTTAGCCCAGTGGGGTGTGTGTGTTGGGGGAATCTGTGGGAGGATGTAATGGGCGCTGTGCTCGGGGGCTGCTGATTCGACATTGGTGAGGCCTCATCTGGAGTACTGTGTTCAGTTTTGGGCCCCACACTACAAGAAGGATGTGGAAAAATTGGAAAGAGTCCAGCGGAGGGCAACAAAAATCATTAGGGGTCTGGAGCACATGACTTATGAGGAGCGGCTGAGGGAACTGGGATTGTTTAGTCTCCAGAAGAGAAGAATGAGGGGGGATTTGATAGCTGCTTTCAACTACCTGAAGGGGGGTTCCAAAGAGGATGGAGCTCGGCTGTTCTCAGTGGTGGCAGATGACAGAACAAGGAGTAATGGTCTCAAGTTGCAGTGGGGGAGGTCTAGGTTGGATATTAGGAAACACTATTTCACTAGGAGGGTGGTGAAGCACTGGAATGGGTTACCTAGGGAGGTGGTGGAATCTCCTTCCTTAGAGGTTTTTAAGGCCCGGCTTAACAAAGCCCTGGCTGGGAATATTTAGTTGGGAATTGGTCCTGCTTTGAGCAGGGGGTTGGACTAGATGACCTCCTGAGGTCCCTTCCAACCCTGATATTCTGTGATTCTATGATTCAGACTTGACCCCTTTGGAACTGTCTGCCCGTAGTATGTTTTTGTTGTTTTTGTCTTCTCCTCTTTTTCTTACTATACCTGGCATAAAACTAGCATCTGTCCATCTTTCTTGCAGCCATGTTCAGACTACGTTACAGATGTGACACAGGCTGTTTTATCTCAGAAGTAGGGTGCAACCGGGCGGCCTGCCCCCTTTTACGGGCCAGGGGGGCTGGGGAGCAGCTAGCCCCATTCTGGAGAAGAGCCCAGCAGTTGGGTGCTGGGAATCATCTGACCCAGCTGGACAGCATCGAGTGACTGGAGCTGAGGATTCCCAGCCAGGGGATATAACTGAAGGGCCCAGCTCCATGATGAGCCTAGAGGAGAAGGCTGTGGGGGGACAGAAGGCTGCAAGAGGGCAGACGAGCCCTGCAGACCAGTCATTGGATGGGGGGAAAGTTTGGACCATTAAGCTGCCAGAGGCCAGAGCACCCCACAGTCTCGATGGGGAACAGGATGGTTACTTGATGTTGTTGTTCCATGGTCCCTTTTATTTATTGTTTTGAAGAACAAAGAGGACCCTTAGGTGAGGGCGACAAACTGACCTGGGTGTGGCTGATTGCCTGTCCCACCCTGATGACTGGTCCACCAGCCTACACATGGCTTCAGGACGTATTTGTATCAGGCGTTTTCTGTCTCGGTTTTCCACTTTGAGCATTGCAGCCGTTGAGGCGAGGGCACCCAGAAATTCAAACCGGGGCAGAGGCCGCAAGGGCCATCAGAAAAAGCACCAGACTGGGATTTAGGAAACCTAGGTTCTGTCACCAGCTCTGCCACTCCCTTGCTTTGTGGTCTCCTATGCCTTATATGTCTTGTCTATTTAGATAGTAATTCGTTAGGGCAAGTCCTGTCTCTTACGGTGTGTATGTACAGCGTTGGTAGCACAGTGGAGCTCTGATTTCGGTTTGGGCCTTTAACTGCCGTTCTAATACAAATAACTAATAATAATAATGGGGATTAGAATTCCTGACTCTTTTTCCAAGTCCTTCCCCCCGCTTGAGGTGTGATTTCCAATAAATTGCTCAGGCTGAATTTCTCAAACCCCGCTGCCTGTGGTTAGGCACCAAAATCAAAGTGACCCGATGTTTCAGAAGCGTTGAAAACTCACAGCTGTGTGAGTGGGTGCTGCTGGGCGCTGAGCTTTTTCAACAATCAGATGACTTCCGGTGCCTAAGTCGGGAACCCGAGTTTGAACATTTTGGCCAACAGTAACTAATTCACAGAGATGCCATAAGGCCTAATTAATTAATATTTCCTTATGAGCTTTGAGATTTGTGAACGAACTGCACTGTACAAGTGCATCCAAGTGTTGTTTGCTTTTGTCCGTGTTTTTAACTTTAAATCCCCTTAATTTGAACGTTCTGCTCTCCCAATGAAAGACTGTAATGAATAAGAATGTTCTCTAAAGTTATGCAGGTGTGTTACTATACTTCTGTGAGCTTAGACTGAAATAAAGTGCATCCAGGCTGGCGTTCATTTCCTGGCTTAGGGACACATTTAAAACACCATAAAGCAAGAATAGTTCTGCGCCACAGTTCTTGAATTCAAAGATTTCCCTGAAAAGGTGCCAAACATGATGGATTGTTGCAGGCTCTTTGCCCTGGCTTGCCATATCATTGCTATCAGATGTTCTCTTACATTCTATTCTGAACCTGCCAAACGACTGACCCTAGAAATTAACGCCACACCTTCTTCTCTTTTCTCTTTCTGAATGACCTCTTTTCTGCTCCGGCTCCAAAGAACTGGAGGATACTGCAACATCCTCGGGGACATACAGAAAGCTGAGCTGGAGCCTGTGTGGGACTTAAAAAGGACTTCCAGTTGGTGGTAGCCTGAGGAACTTCCTTTCACTCCAATGTTGCTCCGAAACTAATTGTCGCCAGAATTCGAAACGATCAGGTTTGCTAAGGTATGTGATTTTTGCCTTTGTTTGCATTCCTATATGTTTTCTGAACATCTGTCTATGGCACTTGTAACTATGGTTCTGCATATTTACATGTAGGTAAATGCAGCCCACAGACTGCCTCAGTGAATGCCCTGTACTCCTTGATTTGGAGAATACTTTGCAAGGTTAAAGTGCTTTTAAAGTCACTGTCTGGATGAAGAACGTCTCAAGTGCCTTTATTGAATAACCTACTCATTTATGCCTGTGTACGGTGGTTTGTAAAGTAGCCTTGTTGATAGGCACCTGGATTTTGAAAACCACTAATATCTAATGATTAGAAGGTCAGAGACCAAAAAAAAAAAAAAATAAATAAATAAAAGCCAAACAAACGTAAAAAACAGAGAAAAGAGAGATCATTCTCCAAAAGCCATTCTCTTCTTTGTCACTTGTATTTCAACATTGTTGGCCTAGGATGAAATTTATTATATTGGTTTGTTACATGATAGTCCCTTGGATAGGAGGCTCATGTCTTTGTTGTGTGCAGATTCTGATGTCACAGAGCAGAAACTCACATGGCATAGAGCAAACAGCCCCAATTCGCAGGTGTAGGGAAACACTTAGAATAACACGATCTATGACAACCCATCTCCCTTGGTTTAATCCAAGTTATTTCCAGGAAGGAAATTGGGTTTATTTATTTATATTTTTGGATCATCAATTGGAAAGATATTTAAAAAGCTTTGGAAGTGTGAATGCAAAACCTTAGTTCCTAGGTCTGTATGGATTTGTATCAAACGATAAAGTGATAAAAAGTACATGTGTTTTATTCTCATTAATATCTGAATGAGAGATTTCCTCCACACTCTGCAATAGCAATACGGTGTTCAAGCTTAATGTAGGAGTGTTGAAAAATCCAAACAGAAGTTAGATTTTCATATATTTTTAAAGCTTCCAAGAAAATGTGGCGTTCTCTTACATTAATTCTTTTGGTGTGATCAGACTAATACTACTTGTTCTGTAAATAGTGAAATTTAATTCAGATACCTAACTGGAGTTCCATTTGTAACATTTGCATACATATTACATTCAGTTTTGGAATGGCTGCAGTACAGAAATATGACTACAAGACTAGCATGATTTCAAACCATCTGTGCCCACGCTATAGTCTGTATAGATCATAGTTTGCTTACTGGACTTGACCATTGGCCTGGCAATAGAAATACAGATCACAAGAGATCATAAGACAGTGACTGGTTCAGAGCTGCGGGAAGCTCCTCTTCTACCTTCAGTGCAGCGAGAAAGAGGAAGGATTGGAGAGGGAAATGAAAGCAAATCCCTTCACTCCCAGGGCCCAGGGTAGGGAGAAAAGAATGAGAGAGAAATTAATGGGCGGAATGGAATTGCCTCAGTCCTAGTGTGACATTGTTTGTGATGCTGTGATGTCGTTGCACCAATTCATGGTGAGGCTGAATTATAACTAAGTCCCAAGACCAATATGAACAGCCAATGCCAGGGCATGGCTACACATTGATTTTGTAGTTCTCTGCACTGCCATTCAGTGATACGTTGTTCTCTGGTTCCTCAAGCGTCTGTACTGATATAATCAAATGCAGTGCTCGACGTACTCTGCAGGAGTCTACACTGTTTACAAACAAACTCCCATGGAAATTCCTGCCATTAAATTGTAAGTATTGCAAGCTTTTTAATCTGTCTAAATAGTGCCTGGTCGTGATGACAGAAGTCGCTGCTAAACATGCGTCTGATGAAGTGGGTATTCACCCACGAAAGCTCATGCTCCAATACTTCTGTTAGTCTATAAGGTGCCACAGGACTCTTTGTCGCTTTTTGCTAAACTTGTGAGTACATTGTCTGGAGATGAAGGTTAAAGGTGGAATATTTTGCAATCAAGGGAACTCTTTGAGTCCTAAAGGGAAATATTTTACCCAGCTGTAGCCTGGAAATCAAATCAGTTTGTTTTATTGCACATTTCTCTTTTCTATTTGTAAGTGAAAGTGTGTAAATCTTTCATGTGTGTATTTTGCTGGCTGCCCTGCTCTGGGAAAGCTCAAGGTGCCAGAAGATGGGCAGTGATCTATCTCCAGCGCTTTGAGGACCAGTATCTGATTTTCATGCAGCTTCAACAAATCAGAATTATTAAGGAAAGAAAACAAACAGACAAATAACCCACAACCCTAGCAAAGTGTTATAACACACGGGCTGCTGCCTTTCTAGCTCTGATCCAGGATCTATGCACTAGCATTAATATATGGAGATATACCTATCCCATAGAACTGGAGGGGACCCTGAAGGGTCATTGAGTCCAGCCCCCTGCCTTCACTAGCAGGACCAAGTACTGATTTTGCCCCAGATCCCTAAGTGGCCCCCTCAAGGATTGAACTCACAACCCTGGGTTTAGGAGGCTAATGCTCAAACCACTGAGCTATCCTTTCCCCTAATGGCCTTGTGGTATGTTATGACAATTTACCAGCCCATGCACAAGAGCTATCCACTTGCCCATTATCATCATGTTAATGGTGCCTGTCCAAAAAACTTATTCACCCTGGCCATGTGCGCAAGTAGAATTTTGCAATGCCGACAAGAGGTTGCCAGGAGTGAATCATTTTGCATGCTATGACTTGAGTATGACGCTGGTGCAGAATTGGCGGAACTTCACAGGGTCTGCTGCATAGGAGTAAGACCTTTCCTAAACAAGGGTTTCCCCGCTGCAGATTTATTCTGCATTTGCCCTAGGAACTGCTTGTTCCCATTTCAGTATTGCCAACCTCAAGCATTCCAAAATCATGAGTCAGGTCCCAAAATAATAGGAGATTTTTCAAAAGGATCATCTGGGGGTGCTTTTTATTTGTCTTCAGGCTTCTGAGCGTTTGGACTGCACTTGGGTCACCTTTTCAAACTTTTCTCTGCAGTCATGAGAGCTGGAAATTTTATTTGATAACGAAAGCATAGATTTGCATGGAATCACATGAATCTGGGGTCTGGAGCTTTAAGGAAAACCCCACATATTGTGAGACTTGTGCTAAAATCATGAGAATTGGCAGTGCTGCTGTTTTACATCCAATCCATCCATCTTAGGCACTTATATGTCCCCCCCTTACCATAGTCTCGGAGTGCCTCACAATCTTTAACATAACCTAGCAACATCCCCAGGAGGTAGGGAAGTGCTGTTGTTTCCCTTTTAGAGATGGGAAACTGAGGCCCAGAAGCTTGTCTGAGGTCACACCGGACATTAGTGACAGAGAAGGGACTTGAGCCTGGGTCTCCTTAGTCCCAGGCTCCCACTCTAATCACTATACCATCTTTCCTTCCTGTACCCTTCCTTCTACCACTGTCTACATTCCCTGAGCAGCAGTGAAAGGCTCGCCAGATAAGGGATTACAATACCCCTGTGAGACTGCTGTAGAAGCAAAGGAATGAACAGGTGACAAGTCAGGCTGCAAGGCCCTCACCTTTGGTTCCTCCCATAACCCAAAGCAGCTGTTGGCTGCATTTGTGCATTTCTGGAAAAAAACTACTGCAGAATCAGGGAATTGTCTTTCTCATACCTCCGTTCCCCATGGAACTGAAGCTACAGCACTCAGGTTACAACTGTAGCCAGCCCCAAGTCCTGGGCATTGCTCCACTTGCTCTGTAGCTCTAGTGGAAATGACACCGTATGTCTAAATAACGCTTAGCTGAAGACATTCATCTTTGCAACACGCTGTTGCTTGCTCATGTGTGACATGTAATTGTGCAGATGATCATCTTGTGTGCGGAATTTTTTTAAACTGATCTACAGATGATACACACACTAATATTTTGTCTTCAAATTGCTTGTTGTTAGATTAGTAGGGATTATATAACCCTTTAAAAATCTCTTTTTTGCTGAAGAAGTGCATTTAATTAATACATAGGAAATTGTTTTTTTAAGTGCCCATTAAATGTAGTTATTAAATTTTATCTTGCAAGTATAAGTGAAATAATCTGTGTTCATTTGATGTGTTTTATAGCTCGTATAGCAGTTAATTGTCTTTGGAACATTGATTCTTGGACATGTTCCCCTTTTTCAGGTGAAGTCATTATCTGAGTTTAACCTTCCCTTATATGATGGATAAAAATCGGTCTTTTTAATGTTTTTAATCAGATTTTTTTAAAATTTAAATACGGATTTATGTTTAAAAAATTTGAAAATTAAATTTGAAATTGTGACAACCTACATTACATTTAAATTTACTAAAATATACTAAAACCATTTACATTAAAGGAAAAGAATAACATTAAGCAGTACCTGTTTGCTGCTGAAGTTTTAAAGACAGTTAAATCATTGAACTGGTGGCAGTCACTGGCTAAACACCTCTAACCATGTTTGGTGAAGTGCTAAACCAGATTTTGACACCAGTAGCCTCTAATGCACATGCAGAAAGAATATTTTCTTCTTTTCAGTTTATTCAACTAGTTCAATATAAGTCAGGGCAGTACCAATTTAAACCGCCTCAGATTTCCAGAACAATAGCAAAGGCAAATTAAATACCCCATTTTGAGCGAATGCTTTCCTACAGAAGCTGATCACACTTCAAAGACTTTGTTCTAGGGAAGTAGGCCTGTATACAATATCCTTTCCTGTGTGTATATCTCACAAATAAAGGTATGCAGCATTTTTATACAAGTAAAAAATAAGTGAATCTTTTCAAGCACTTGTCTGGACTTAGCTTTCTAGGGTATGGAAATAGGATGGCTTTTATATTGTGTGTGTCTTCTTGGAAGATCAGCAGCCTTGCTGCTAACATATCAAGTCTTCTGATGGCACTTCTGTTGCAGCCCCGTTCACCCAACCTGTCCTGACGGGGCTTTCTCTGACTCTGTTCCACTGATGTATATTGGAGCACATTCTCTAATAACAAATATCTTGGTTGAGTGAGACAGGATATCAGTGGAACTAAGTTGAATTTATAAGAAATTCTAAAGCTAACGTGGACCTTGCAAGAAATCTATCAAGAAACAAATGCTATCTTGATGACAATCAGATA